TGGGTCGAGATGCCTGATGATGCGGAAGATCTGTACTGGTTCTTAAGAGCGTTATACGATGGCTTGTGAGTCGCTCTTCGTTGTCGTTCTATAGTTGCTCATGTTCTTCAGATACTTTCCAATTGCTCCTCGCGTTTCTCCGGATATCTTCCCATTCCTTTCGTCTGTTCTTCGCCTTTCCAATAAATACATAATTCCGCACCTTCGAACTCTCTGCTTAAACCGACTCGCAACCGACTTTCCTCGTACACTCGACGGGTGGGATCGCAGGGAAGCGGCGGCAACGTATCCTTCCACTATGACCATGCTGGAATTTGAAAAGTCGCTCATGGTTCCCGAAGACTCGCGCACGCCTTATCGGGAACAAGACTCGGAAGCCGAAAGTCAAGCTCAGTGTCATCCTCTAGCAGGTCAATACCGGCCTAGAGACTTCTATCCCCATCCTTTCCTTATCATTCAGCTTGCACTCGAGATGGGTTCTGGCACCTTGGATTACGACCTGACGACGGACATGAAGCAACTGTTACCAAGTGCGTTCTACGACCTGAGCAGATACGCTCCCAGCAGGGTCGCCGGCTGGGTCAGCGGGAAAGAGAAGATAATTGCAGGCGACCAAGACGTTTGCGCTCCTGTGGATCCTGAACAGTGCGAGGCGGAGCACGCTCATCAACACGAAATGAAGAACGAAGACGAAGCTCCGACCTCGCCTTCTTCGTCGGTTTACTTGTCTGCGCCTACTTCCCCGTCCTCCCCAAATTCGCCCATTGCCGGACCTATGCCCACGCCCTTGTTTCCATCCTCTCTTCAAATTCTTCCTCGAATACTCCAGGGTCGTGAACTAGGCCAAAAATTCGTAGCAGAATGGATTCTAAGCGAGTTGGTTGGGAGACGGCCCGTCCCTGAGTGTATATATCCTCTCACCCTGAACAATTCTGGAAGATGGGTACCAACAGCTACGGAAGGAGTAGACAGGGGTAGCATGGGCCAAGCGCGGTCGTCCAACCCAACAGCCGGTCTTACTTCGGGTAATACTCAATATGCTCATCTATCTCCACCAGGAGTGTCGATGTCTGCGAACCCGGGGCTGTCTGTTCCGAACTCTCACACTTCTGCTCACTCTGCATATGTGAGCTCTTTGACGTCGCCTGTCGGTCCGATTCCTTTCGTCCCTAACGTGATTGCCGGGGCTACTGGCATCGTGGGCGCGGGGTCTATCGTGGCTCCGGTGACTGGCACGACGACTTCGTCATCTGCCGCTACGAACACCATTCCTAGCGTCACGACACCTACCACTAATGCATCACCGAGTACTCATCCTCAACCTACGCATCCAGTGCCATCTACGTTACTGTCTCATCCCAACTCTTCCTCGACGCAATCTCAAGTCCAGCCGTCTCCAGTGATCTCCAACACATCCCACAGCACGGCCTCAACTTCGTCACCTTGGGGTCACCCCTGTACCGAATCATTTTATTTCGTCGCTCTAAACCTCTTGCGAGCAGTTGGTGGGATAGCTGTAGGCAGAGACGCAGATCCGTTGTTTACGATTAGGCAGGCGGAAGAGATGTTGGGTAGGTGTGATTTTGTAGAGGGAGGTGCGGTGGAGGATGATGTAGGTGAGGATAACGACGCGACGTCCGGGTCTGGGGCGAATGCCGCTACTGCTCAGGCTGGAATTGGGGCGACGAATGCCGGAAGCACTCCAGGGGATCAAGAGCAAGGAAGGTCAAGGAAGAAGAGAGCATGTGCACTCCAGATCTGTACGCCGTGCAAGTTGTCTGTGAAAGAGTCTTGCGAGAGAGCGAGGAGGAGGGTATGGGCAGAGATGCCTGGTTGGTTTGGACTCAAGTGATCTGGCGGCGGACATTTTTTTTTCCTTTCGGGCTGTATTTTTGTATTGTCAAATATGGATGTAAATTAGAAACTAGATATCTCATAAATACACTGTCGTACAACGTATGCCCTTTTGCGTATTTTACAATTAACGCCTGATTAAACTAGTAAGTGGGCAGAGTGTCAGTCATTAATAAATTGTCAATGCCCGCCTAGCTCAATCGGATAGAGCGTCAGACTCTTAAGTGCGGGCAATCTGAAGGCTGCGAGTTCGACCCTCGCGGTGGGCTATGAGAATGAGAGACGATTTTGATGGGTAGAGTGAGAGGAAAACCTTTCTCAATTTTTTGGGTCATTGTCAGTGACATCATGACACAGCTAATAAACCATCAATAACGCGAGAAGCGAGAAGAAAAGCGCTTCCTACTTCACTTAGCCTTCATCTAGTCTCGATCTCTAGTGTCGGCTGCCCAGTGTTCAAGGCATTCGATCAGCCGCCTTACAACTTCAAGAGGGAAAAAAAGTGTCGGACATAAATAACCTCAGTTGGTACTGATACAACTGATGCAGACTGTGTGACAGTTATTGACGGGTCGACTTGACCGTTTCGTCTGACGTTTTGGGTTTTGGCTATGCTTAACTATTGGCGACGGACAAGCTCCTCCTCCCGAGAAGAGATTAAGGAGTCGTTTTGTAACTCCTGAATGGAGTCCCTAGTCAGGGGAATCCGAACAGAAGGAGAATATAAAGCTTGGCTAGAGTATGCAGTTGCTCATCCTCCCATTTCTCTTCTTTTCACGTCTCTTTTTCTTTTTCTTTCCAGTCTTCATGAAGTTCTCCTATCTTTCTGTGCTCCTTGCATTTGCGATCCAATCAGTACATGCTGGACCTCAGTATAGATCTACTAGGCAAAGCTCCATTTTGATTAGTACGCGCGCCTCATAGTTGTATTAGATTGTCAGACTGATGCTCGTGTAGATCCCGATGCTCAACCTGGTCTACCCGGTCCACGAATTCAAAGTGCAGTACCAGCTGCTAACCATGCAGCTACACTCAATCTGAATGATATTCAAGGCGATATCTTGTATGCTTATCAACTTGCCATAATCCATCAGTCTTCACTAACAAACGGTGGTAGGATTGGTATGAAGAAAAAGAAAGAAATGTTTTTCTTCTTTAGCATTAAAGACGCAAAAACCTTCAAGTCTAAGCTACCTTCCAAGATTGCTCCCCTCATCACGAACACGAATCAATTGCTTTCAGTCGACACTCAACCAACCACCGCTGTAAACATTGCATTCTCCCACACTGGCCTCCTTGCCTTGAACGTCACTGATAATCTCGGTGACTCGGCATTCACTGGAGGACAGTTCAAGGATGCCTCCAGTATCGGTGATCCTGGTACCTCACAATGGGTTCCTGGATTTGCTGGAACTAATGTTCATGGCGTTTTTCTCTTGGCTTCCGATACTGTAAAGAATGTCCATGACGAACTTGCTCGCATCAAGAGCATCCTCGGAAACTCTATCTCTGAGATTCATCGTGTTCATGGAGCCGCCCGTCCAGGTGATCAAGAAGGACACGAACGTGAGTCTGAACTTCTCGGTTCTATCTATCTCATATCTCTTATCAAAACAGATTTCGGTTTCATGGATGGAATCAGTCAACCCGCTGTTCAGGGTTTCACTCAACAAGTTCTACCGGGACAAGGCGATCTCCTTCCTGCTGGGGAATTTCTAGTAGGCGAATCTGGTGACTCAACAACCCGACCTAGCTGGGCCAAGGGAGGCTCTTTCCTTGTCTTCCGTCAGATGCAGCAGAAAGTTCCAGAGTTCAACAAGTATCTTATGGACCATGCTCTCAATGTACCAGGTTTGACACAGCAAGAGAATGTTGACTTGCTTGGAGCACGTTTTATCGGAAGATGGAAGAGTGTAATCTCCACATCTCTTATATCGTACTTATCTGACTGATTCCGCCATCTCTTGTAGGGCGCTCCAATCGACCTATCATCCTTGAGAGACGATCCTTCTCTCGGAAATGACAATACACGCAACAATAATTTTACCTTTGACCATCCCGACATTCCTGGATTTGATATCGCCACAAATCAGACATTTGAACTCGATGCCTGGTTTGCGGAATACAAATTGACCACAGTTCGTCGGTAGCTGCACACATTCGTAAAACGCGTCCTAGATTCGACTTTGGACAGGATGAACCTGATCACCACATCATCCGAGCTGGCATTCCCTATGGACCTGAAGGTATCCGTCTTCGCTCCACTCTTTGGATAAATCTCCTAAGTTACTCCTTACAGTTACTGATTACGAGCATACGTCAAACGCATCAAGTACTGATCCTTCCTTGGAACGAGGTCTCGCCTTCGGTGAGACTTGACGATGATTATATCCACAACTCGGAAGCTAACAGAAATGACTCCCACTAGTCGCTTATCAGTCCAATATCAACACTGGGTTCCGCTTCTTACAACAAGCTTGGGTGAATAACGCCAACTTTTTCTTCGGAAAAGCTAGTAAGTGCTTCTTTGACATTAGTGCATTATGATTGGCTGACTGGTTTTTCCGTTCAGCTCCGTAAGTCTTGCCTATCTCTACCCATTCAGCGTCACTCATCTCCCTCGGACCTTTTTCTAAAATCCCTAGACCCGTAAGTCAAAGCTGTGATTATTTTCGCTTGTGCGCGTATGAATTGACTATCCTTAGGGCGTCGATCCCATCATCGGTCGGAGTGTCAACGCCCCCGCAGATACACCTCGTAACGTGTCGGGATCAGATCCTCTAAACTCCACCCATATTTTCACTCTAGACATCGGTGAGCTATGCATTCCCTAACTGTTGAGCCCTATGTATTTACACTACTACTTTTTAGACTTTGTCGTGTCTCGTGGGGGAGAATACTTCTTCTCGCCTCCCATCTCTGCGCTAACTGGTGCACTTGCCGTATAAAGCACCATTTGACAAGACTCGACGAATCCTCAAGCTTATTCATGACTCTACCATGATTCATCATTCAATGGGACTCTAACGACTATGTATTTACAGTATTTATAACTAGTTTATTTTGGCTGCTCTCGTACGAAAAGGCCTGAAAATGTGTGGTCCTGTAGGTAGGTAGGTAGGTAGGTAGATTACACGGCTCCCAACAAGCTGTAGCGGTTATCACATGGGATCCTGAACGTTGTTTCCCATGACCCAGGTTCGATTCCTGGCAGGACCTTTTGAAGTTTTTGAAGGCTGCCAAACGGAGCTCATAAAAGTCCGTAATGCGATTACCCTCAAGCTTCGAAGAGCGATAACGTAGTACAATGGGAAAAAAAGGCTGATAAGTAGGCCATCTGATGTCACGAACACCCCAGAAGTCTGTGATAAGAAATGCGTTGCAAAAATGATAAGGCAACGTTAACCCTTCTCTATGCAAATGCGACAAAACAGTTACCAGAACGTAAAGAAGCAATGTTATGGGAAACTCATGGCATAGTTTGAGTACTCGGAGAAGAAGTCATTCCTAGATAGGTACTTTTATGTGGCGGATCCTCGCTGCATAAGTGAGAACTTCAAATGAAAGGCATGTCTTGCCACTGGCATGTTTGAATCAAAAATCTGACATTCGATAATTACCTGCCTTGACCTCTTTACCGCAAGCTTTGAACGAGATCCATCTAAACATTCGAACTAAGCCTCACAGCGAAGCTAACGGCTCTCGGATCGAGTAGACCTTCCGAATTTACTCCAAATGCTCAATTAGTTTCCAAACCTCGGTTGAATTCCATTGAATTTCCCACTCCTCCTCCTCAAGCTTCCTAGCGCTAGCTGCAGGAATTTTGTTGTCCTCTCACTATCGCGTTGTAGCTCATCGGCGGTTCAAATGTTACGCGTACCCTTGCAACAAGAACTGTGGGGCTCATAACCCGATTTTGACCATGCCTTTCACCGATTCGTCCCTCTGCATATAAAATCCAAGCATGACTACTACAACTTTCTTCGTCCTTCCAGACAGCTCGATCTCCATGGCCCTAGCAACTACGCTTCGGACTTCTATTCCCTACGTACTGGTGGCTTTATCTGCGTCATCTTTACCAGTTTTCGCGTATGACTGGGTCCCGAATCCGCAGCCCAAAGGCAATTGGTTCACTGGCTGGCAGGACCTGCCTGACATCCCTGGTGCACAGCTCATTGATGACTGGCCCGTTCCTGGCACAGACTCTGTGATGGCGAGTGCATGAATGAGTACCGACTCGGGTTTAAGCTGATATTCGCTTTTCATCCGTTAGTCCATGTATCAAAGCTCAGGACTAGATCCATCGCAAGTGACGCGCGCCATCATCGCTCCCGGTGCAAAACTCCGTGATCACTGGAACTGTAAGGAAATTGTTGATCATTCGAAGGTTTCTCTGACCACCTTGTTTTCATAGATTGGAATGACATGCAGAACGTCAAGATGGATTTAGCAAGTACTGACACCAGCTTCGACCCCAACACTACCTCAGTCATTTCGCCTTGTTTTCTTGCCGAGATCGATATCAATGCTGGAGCTGGAGGTGCAAACACACTCTACTGGGATACAAATGGATGGTTCAACGGCCACTACGCCCAGGGTCCAGATGTTAACGACCAAGTCAGCTCTTTTGACGTCTTTGATTCGTTGGTCGATTACTATTTCAATGAAACTATGTATCCCAAAATGGAGGTGAGTTTCTGTCTGTCTGCAACCGAGAATTTATGAGGATTTACAATCTCGGCAGAACTTGCTTTTCGTTGGTCATTCAGCTGCTGCTCAGTTTGTCCATCGTTATGCAGCGATGCGTACACCCACTCGTCATGACGACAAAATTGGGTGGATTATAGGTAGATTCTTCGTTCATCTCAATTGAAATCCTCATAAGATGAATAATGTGTACTTCAGGAAATCCTGCATCGTATCTATGGCTCGTGGAAGACCGTCCTGTTGAAGTTTCCGACTGCGACAATATAGACGACTACAAGTTTGGACTTTCTGGAAATATGCCCGGATATTCAACGGGCAACTTCAACGATGTTGGTCGATCCGGAATAGTTTCGAGGTATTTAGGACGGTATATTCACTATGCTTTAGGAACGGTAAGTTTTGATATTCAAATTTCTGGTTTCGTATTCATTTGTTCGTGCCATTGGCACAACGTAGGCTGATCTTGGTTCTGGCGACAATTCATGTCAGGCATTGGTAATAAATTCAATGTAACTATGCCTTCCAGTTCTGATACTCTTTCTAAATTAGACACAAGGTTCCTCGCATTTTGAACGTGGTCAGAACTACATCGCCATGTTGGAAGCTATGCCAGATGGAATGCCTAAGACACAAACTCTCGACCTAATCGAGGGTGTCTCTCGTCAGGATGTTCAAATGTTTAATAGTACCCAACTTAGACAAAGGGTATGTACACGGAGCAATCTGATTAGTTCTTACGCTGAAAACATTTTCAGATATTCAAACTTGATGTCAATGACACTCGAAGCTTGGACACTTCCTCAAGCGGGGGAAATGCTCGAGTTAAACGTGACATCCTTGGCCAGGTCCAAGAGAATGGAGCATCGACTTCAAGTCGTGGTATATTTCTAGCAATTACTTCGATCGCGCTGCACAATCTTCTGCTATGATTCCTGCTCTGAATACCACAAGCTCGGCCATCTATTACTGTTTTATTTTACTATATCATATCGAATCTATTACCAGTACAAATGATAATGTAGTAGAGAGAAGAGATACCCAACCCTCCGAGTCACTCAATAAATTATTGAAAATGGAAATAGGGGTGTGAATAATAGACCAAATGCAGAATCTCCTTCCGTTTCTCACACTGTCAACACGTGTCAACAACTCCTTCAACTGTTCTCAACGTCATCAGCCTCGAGGGAACCGTCTTGTACTGTAACCAACGCCTCAATCTCGGTCTCTCTAGGTGATTCTCGCTTCTCTAAGATTCTGTGAGCAAACTGAAGCTTTGCGGTAGTATCTCTAAATGTCTTCATCCGGTGCCGAGGATCCTGACCAATGCCCCCACTTAACGTCGGAGATCCTTGAAAGCGATGTTTTCGCCAAATATAAGAGCGTGATCTCATGGAACTCTCGCCGTCTTATGAATGGGCAAAGTTTATCGAAGAGAAGAAAGGTGATTTCAGAAGCACTTTTCTATTTGCTCGGGTAATTGACGCCATAGGCAATAGGTGTCTGCTCTTACTTGTGGGACGTGTAAAATACCTCTTTTGAGACCTTTCTTATGTTTACACTGCTCATACGCCGGCTGCTGGAAGAACCAAGTACATGATCATCTTCACGACAACGAGCATACTTTTTGTATGTTGATCTGGTCTTTCGTATCTAAATGAAGTTTCGACTCATAGAATTCCAAGGTGTCGATGCCAAGTCCGGAGCTATCTACTGCTATATTTGTGATGACATGATTCATAGCCGTGTCGTCGACGCCCTATACCTAGAGGCTATTCTTCGTATCGAGGAGCAGTATACCCCATTTCAAGGTTGGTTGATTTGTCGGCTGTCCCATTTGGTTTCCTCATTCAGACTGGACAATCTTTGAATCCACATTTTGACATATGACAGTCTCAAGTAAACATAGAGAACCGTACAGGTTTTGGATGCCATCGGAAGAGGAGAAAAGTGCACTTGAAAATAATATGGAACCGGTAGCATGCCAAGGTCTACATTTCTCTTGATTTATTCTCCCTTAGCTGTATACTTATGACTTTCGCATTCCAGGTCGACGAGGCCTACTGAACCTCGGTCAAACGTGCTTTCTGAATGTCGTTCTTCAGTGCTTTATTCACAATCCTCTTTTGAGAAATTACTTTCTGGGGGACAAACACAATCATAAGCAGTGCAAAAATGATGATTGTAGCTGTTGTGAGATGGATAGGCTCTTTACGGCGGTATGAACCTTCTACTTCTTATTTTGTCCTCATGCTCAGTTGATTGCAGATCTACTCTAATGACACCTCCCCTTATGGGCCTATAACATTCCTTTCAACGACTTGGAGAAAATCCACGGAACTTGCTGGTTACGCCCAACAGGACGCACATGAGTTTTTCATCACAACCCTAAACCAGATGCACAGCAACTGTAAGGGTTCGACCGGTGTTTCGTGTAACTGTATCATCCATTCGACCTTCTCTGGAGCATACCAAAGCGATGTTTCCTGCACCCGGTGCGGGAACATTACTAGCACAGTGGATCCGATGTATGATGTTAGTTTAGAGCTGAAAGAGGTAAAAGGAGAATTTCCAATCAATGAAAATACATTATTGGCATGTCTCAAGAGGTAGCTTTTGAATTGCCTTTACGTTAAAGAGAAAGAAATGATATAGTTCGTTTGCAGATTTACTCAACCGGAGAAATTAGCTTACAACTGCGCCAAATGTGGCAAGGCCTCAAATGTGCGTTATAGTTCCCGGCATTTCTCATTTCATTATGTGCAACTACGGTATTTTCAAACAGGATGCCAATAAACGACTGAGTATATTCAAACTCCCGCCTGTTCTGAGTTTTCAGTTCAAGGTCTGTACGCTACTGCATGCAACCGCCCATTCTGATATTTCATTATTAGCGATTTGAACACAAATCCTCTGGCAAGACGGATGCTGCAGCCCAGAAATTGCACGCTGAAGTCCGATTTCCGCCCACATTGAATATGTTACCTTACACATCTCTAATGGCCGGTAAGGATCCAAAAGTTCGAGTTAATATGAACACGTAAGTCGTGTTTCTTATCGATTTTTCAGCTGTTAACAATTGTATCGAAAGTGGGCCCGAAACAATGTACGAATACGACCTGTTTGCAGTGATCAACCACGAAGGCGATATGAATAATGGTCACTATACTAACTTTGCAAGATTTGGCAATGAGGTAGATTCAATTTTCATTCTCAGATTGGTCGAATTGATTGTATTCGTACAGTGGTATAGGTTTGACGACGATAAGTGAGTCGGAAGAAGTTTCTTGTCATCTCTAATGCATATGAATCTGTGTAGGGTAACTCATTCGACGTTGGAAGCCTGCTTGAAATCTTCGCCGTATATGTGCTTTTACGTCAAAAGGCATCTAGAGTACAAAGCACATGTGACGCCGACTTACATTCTGAACCACAAAACAGAGGCGGTCAAGGAGAAAGAGAGGGAAGTCGAGAGGGAAAGGGAAAAGGAGGCCGCGCGGTTGAAAGAGGCAGAA